GTTTCTTCTTGAACCATCTTAGCCATCAGTTCTATAATCCCATTTTGAATTATAGGGCCCAGGTACTTCACTCTGTTCCAAGTGGTTTGTTATAACCTTGTTCTGCTCACCAAGTTGCACAAGAATTTCCAGAAAAGTTGCTATCCCGTTGCAACTTTCTACCTGTTGCCTGCCTCCACACTGCCCAATTGAGTAGTAGTTTGACTGATACCTTGGCAATCTGATTAATGTAGTGTCTGCTTTCTCAAATTACTTCCGATGTGCAGACACAACTCTTTCCAGACACATTACACTCCATTGTGGTATGCATTTTTCCTCATGCTGTTTAAGTCCTGTAAATCTGGATATTAAGGGTTTAACCCTAAAGGGGTTGGGGGATCCGCCCCCCCCTTCAACATTTTCCGTGATAGCCTCTAAAAAAAAGTTTTTCGTAACTCGAGCTGTTATGACTTTTTAGCCTCGAGCTTTGCGCATCTTTTGATACCAAAAACATAAAAATCGGACCACGGGTTGCCGCGTAGCGAAAAATTTTCCAGCGCTATGCGCCGTGAAAACTGAATTTTTGCATATACGTCGTGTACACAGAGCAGAATTGCCATTCGTATTATGAATAATTAATTAGCCATAATTCCAAAACCCTTTTACCTATAGTCATGAAATTTCTTGGGTATGTTTAGGAAGAGTTGCTCTATGCATGTGCCGAGTTTCAAAATTTGTCGTCACTCGATGGCCGAGATCTAATCACATGCATGCCAATGTAAATTAAGTTCAATTTTGGGGACCAAAACTATCGTGAACTGCTACTCTTGCTTAAATTTGCTGTATTTATCAATACCGTACTGTATCCTGAAAGTACTGAATGTAATTAACGACTATTTAAATACAACTGTATGTTAGGTTTCGCCATATACTGTTTACAAACCTGAAAAAGTTGGGTTTAAGTCGATACACTGGATGGATATACTTTGGTAGTTTTTCAGAAACTTAAGGATATACATTCTTTGCCGTTTTACAACTAGTATTTAATGATATTTATGGGCTGTTGGCTGTGCAAAAATTTATAAATAACTAAGTCTTAAAGTAAAGTTAACAATCAAGTATATTAAAGCTGATCTTAGAACTCACAAAGTTATACTTAGATAATTCAGAATGGCTCAAATGTCGTACAATAAGCTGAAGTGGTAACGTATATGAACTATACAAATGTATAAAAAAAATACACTTTCGCCATTGACGTTAAAGGGACAATACAACATTTGCAAACATCAAAAAATAAAACTATTTTGAAATACCTTGCTGGACTGTAAGTGAATGACAGTGTAAAGCATCCTGTAAAATCATGGCACCTGGTATAGTGTCATTTTCAAGAAAAGTGGTATTTTTGTATCAATTTCGAACGCTGATCGGCCCATCAGCGTTGGAAACAACTGGCTTTTTTTTTCAAATACTGGCCCCAATTGACCATCGCACTTGTTTGCAATCGATTACAAACCTATGAACGGGTACGAGCCAGATAGACTGGTTCCCTGACCTTACAATTCCCAATGTATGTAACCTGCTCTGTTTCTTCTTATATGGAGTCAGGGAACCAGACTGCAGGAAAAGGATCGTTTTTCTTGGTTTGTATAGCATTTTCGAACCCAAAACCTCAAAAAAGTCAGTGTAACTATATTTGCTATATATTTCCAACCCCCCCATTCCATTCATTTCTGAAAATTACAGCAAAAGCAAATGGTGTATATTCCCTTTAAGAATTGACTTATTGCCGACACATGTATCTTGAAAGTACATGGGACAAGCCTTGTTAGACTAAAGAACGTGGTGTACATGCTATATATAACACATATGAAAAAGGCTCGCCTGGAATAGAAATTGACTGGGATATATGCAACCAGTCAATTAATTTGTGATATTCAGTCAGTCAGTCGGGCTGGCCTCATCTGGGACAAACGAAAGATGGGGCACAAAATATGTACAAGTTTTCAATGCCATTTCACTGTGTACATGTAAGAAACACCTAATACCTGTCAGGGTACTTAAAGCTATAGTCCATCATTTGTAATTTGTGCATTTTGTTCATTTGAGGCAACAAAAGAGTTCAAAATCTAATGAAGGATACTGAGCAACTAACCTGATGAAGTTTCAGCTAAGCTTCAGCTGTACATTCCGAGAAAAACAGCATTCTAGGATCTCCATTTCAAATCAAAAGTTACTGAATCATGTTTTGAATTGTTTTGAATTGCAGCTTAACGCGGCGTCGCGCACTGATCCGCCGAATTATAACAACCGCGCGTGCGTGTGCATCGTTCCAATACTTGTGCGCGCTGCGCTGAATAACAAAACGAACTACTAATTTAAATTTTCCTACGGTGCTTCTTAAGAATCACCGTTGGAAATGCCTTCTTTCGTTGATTACTTCAAAATGACAGCTTCCCAGAAAGAATAATTTCACAGGGAGTTTAGTTCCCTTACTATCTTTCAACCAAGTTTGTTTTTCAACAGTAATTACGCCAGTTACTTTTCGGATGGCTGCAAATGATGGACTATAGCTTTAAGATCAATTATTAAGTAATAATGTTATGTTAAAATATCAATTTTGCCGTTTTCCAATCAAATGAAGGTCCGATGGTTTGCAATGAAAACATGACGTGTATAAAACAACAAATCTGGTTAGTATGAATAGCAATCATAAATGTGACTGAAGTTAATTAAAAATCAATCGGGTTTCTCGTTGTAGTTTTAATTTGATTGTGACAGTAAAATTTCGCAAACAGCTCTAAAGCACCATCGGAGTAACATCTGGGAAATAGGCGGACCATGATTACAATAGTTATACGAATTGTTTAACTGTCTAACACTTTTAATGCAACTTATTTACTGCCCTTTATATTTCATAGCTAACCTTTTGTACAAATGTTTAAAGAATGCTTTTAACCCAAACAATGTCATTGTATTTATATTTCATTTTCCATCTGAGGCTGAATTTTGAACCTAATTAGACGATGCAAACAACAATGAGCGGTCTGTTTGAACAGTACAAAATGGCAATGCTGTTGCCTGGAAACTTATTTTTACATTAGCCAAAGTCCAACTTCAAACGTGTTCGTAAACACTCAGGTATTCTGGATTACACACACTCTCTTGTGATTGCTTTGTAAATATGAGAAGAATAAAACCTAAATTAATTGAATATAATGCATTTGGAGAGAGATTCTTATTTTTTTTGCTTTTTGTTGAGAGAGATTCTTAATTTTTCACTTTTGTTTTTGCGTGAAGTGTGAACCGCCAGCATTAGCCAAGAACACATTTTTGGGGGGTCCCCCCAAAAAGTGGTTCAAGAAAATTACGGCGTGGGGTTCGGGGCCCGCTTAAGTGCCCCGAAAAAAATTTGGATTCTAGATGCTCTGTGGTGCGATCTGAGGCAATTTCTGACCACTTTAACCAATGTTTTTTTGAGGAAAAGATGGTGGTGTACTCATTGCCTGCCTTTATTGCGATGTCACATAAAAACCAAAAAAAAAACAATTGGTTTCGTTTTGGGGGGGGGGGGGGCATGGCCCCCTTTGGCCCCCCCCCCTGGATCCGCCCTTGACCGCCAGTTAGCCTCCCTCTGCCCCATTCCCCTGTGCCCCCCCCCCCGATATACTGAAGAACAGCGCCACCTTGTGTTTGATAGTGCTCAGTGTCGTTCGCATCCGAGGATGCAATGATGTTTCTTATCCCCCCCCCCACCCTTAATGTTATCAAGGTGATAAATAAGTGTTTTTTCTGGTCATCTGATGAGAAGAATTTGCAATCCGATAGTTAGGAGTCTTGCCTTTGAAAACACATGCCCATGGTATATAGCGAGTGGGAATAAAATGGGTCTTGTGTTAAACTAAAATTTGTGTGAAAAAAATGTGTATGGGTAGAGTTAAGACTTATAAACTGGATACATTTTGCAAAGAAGGACGAATACTCCAAATAACTGCAGACTGGATTTAACTACATCATGTGCAGAAAGAAATTTATTTATTATAAGATGGATTTTTGCGTCGGGGTGATAGACATCAAATTAGGTTTTGCCCTTCAACGACGTTTAAACACTGTATACTCAGTGTGTTACCTCCCGAGTGAAAGTTGGAAAAAATCACTCGGGTGGGACTCGAACCCACGACCTCCTGCTTTCTAGTGCAGATGTCTTACCACTCGACCACCGAGCTAACGGGATCGGTTGGCCGGTTCGAATCTGATGTACATATAGCAGTGGGTACCGCATAAACTATTATAAGATGGATTTTTGCGTCGGGGTGATAGAAATCAAATTAGGTTTTGCCCTTCACCGACGTGTTTTCCAACTTTCACTCGGGAGGTAACACACTGAGTATACAGTGTTAAAAAACGTCGGTGAAGGGCAAAACCTAATTTGACGAAATTGAATTGTTTCAAAGTATCCCCCAATCCCCCAAGTTAAAATAATTAATGAAAGTTCAATGTTTACGGAAACTGTCCTTTAACTCCAGATATTCAAATCAATGTATATATACTGTATGAGAAACTGTAACTCCAATCTCCAATCTAGAGGCGCTACTCAAGATGTCGTATCTGGTATTCCAGATAACAGATTTCTAAAGAAGCATGGTCGATGGGTATCCAAAATAAATGTAAAGATTTGTGTATAAAAGAGCAATATATTGCAAATTGTGGCATTCACTTGTTTTTTTTTCACAGAAAATGATGAAGGATTAGCGAAAAGAGTTTATATCCTGATCCTTACATGTGTTAGCAATAACTTAAAAGTAAAAAACAAGCTCAGGAATGAATTTCATTTTTGGGGGGTCATGTCTCTGTTTGCTTGGAATAGCCCCTATGCAAACATTGAACAACAGTTGCATATAGGAGAAGATGGTCGATATCAAATTTTCCGATGCGATGTGCAAAAGCTGAGCTTCCAATATCTCGTGCTTGATCTTCTTTTGTTTGGTGAGATCTTCAGACATGGTATCATTTCTATCTTTCAGACTTCCGGGCAGAAACGACCTGAAGCTCTCCAAGAGGCAAGAAGACGAGTTCATAATCTGATCGACGAAGCCTTCTCATTGGTCGGTTTACCAAAGAATGCTATCTCTCCAGTCATACCCCTAGCAACCAATGCCCCGCCCATAGCAACAGATCAAGAGGAACGAACCAATAACACCAAAGATAATCAGGTATAGTAAGATAAGGCCATGTCAGAATCAGATATTTTGGGGCTATGACTTAATTTTTGCCATAAGTGCACTGTAGCAAATGGTCGTAGCCGCAAACATCCCAATGTGAACTTACATGTAAAGGTATACAACATTTGCTTTTGCTGTAATTTTCAGAAATGGATGGATTTGGGGTTATTAGTATTTTACAGCAAATATTGTTACACTGACCTATTTAAAGTCTTGTGCATATAGATGCTGGGAACAAAAAATGTTCTTCTTGTCTAGTTCCCTGACCCTACTTCAGATAAAACAGAGCATTTTATAGACGTTGGGGAATTGTCAGGTCAAGGAACCAGACTAACTCGCTTTGGCCCATTCATAGATGTGTAACTGATTGCAAAAAAAAATGAGGATTAACTAAAGTTGGTAAATTGGGGGCAGTATTTGAAGGGAAAGAAAAGTCAGTGTTTTCAATGATGGTTGGCCAACCATCGTTGGAAATTGATACAAAAATTCCACTTTTCTTGAAAATGACAGCACACCAGGTGCCATGATTTCACAGGATGCTTGAGACTATTATTGACTTACAGTCAAGTAAGGTATTTCATAATAACTTGGTAGGTTTTTTATGTTTGCAAAGGTTGTGAATTACTTCAACCTTACCTAACAAGCATTTGTTTCCATTAGTGGTTGAAAAAACGTAATATTATTAAAAGGTGAATGAATTTTTTTGTTTATTTTTACAGACTTTATTTCAGAGGAAAATATCGGAATCTGTGACCAGTTCAGCTGCTGATATGTGAGTAGAGTGCCTCGCCTTTTCCCTGATGAATTCACCATTGATTATGAACAGATGGTGTCAGTTCATGGTGTCAGTAATAATCTGCTTTGATTGTAATAATCATTGACTGCTTTGAATGTTTTGTCTAGTTTCCCTGCCGATACTTATCTGTTTTTAGAAATTACAGATAAAGTGATTTTTTTTAAGTGCTGTTTATCATTTTAAAATAATTAGCAAATTGTCAAGATTTATTAATCCAAGGGAACCAAATGTTTTTGCTCAATGGGTTACAAAGGGGCCGTATCATAAGTACGACGCCTCATTGGTCCGACGCCTCATAAGTCCGACATTTCGGACTGATGAGGCGTCGGACTTATGAGGCATAACATTTATTTATTCCGCCTCATAGGTCCGACGCCTCATAAGTCTGACGCCTCATAAGTCCGACAACGGAAAAACGAGACGTTTAACTTGTCGGACTTACGAGGCGTCGGACCTATGAGGCGTCGGACCTATGAGGCGTCGGAGCTATGAGGCGTCGGACTTATGAGGCGTCAGACCTATGAGGCGTCGGACTTATGGGCCTTTATTTGGTTAGGGGATGTGATTTTGTCGGATTTATGAGGCGTCGGACCTATGAGGCGTCGGACTTATGAGCGGACCCCGTTACAAAAAGAGAGTTAGGGAGGACCACTGGGAGAGACATTCCAACACATTGCCAATGATGCTGAACGCTCACACAAACATGACAAGATGCTGTAGCTTAAATTTGTGCACTATACTTCACGCTATACTCGTGAATCCAGAATGTGTACGCGGTGTGTCTCCTCCGCATAGTCTGGTTCCCTGTCCCCATTGTCCTTCGGACCCCAAATATGGGGACAGGTACCGGTAGCTAGCAGTGAATCCTGCATACATTAGGAGGCTTTCCTCGTAATGTATGCAAATTATATGCATGACATGCATAAGTCTGAATCCAGCCTCCTGACATGCCTGATATGAACATCTTCATCTCTTAAAAATTCATTAAAAGTCCATTTCTCCGTGAAAATAATCTTTAATTGAGATGTTTCACGGACATTTACATGGGGCTTACATAGGACTAATCCTGTAAGGGTATTTTCACGTTTTTTTAATGACCCTGGCCACTGAGGATTATCATTGGTTATACATAACGGTACACTGGGTCTATCTCCATGGGTAAACAAAGGACTTTCTTAAGGGTGTTTTCACGGACTCCTAATCTGGCTTAATATGCTGAAAAATCCGTGAAAATTAAGTTAACTGTAATTTCAAGGAAAAATGGCTCTTTAACGAATTTTTAAGGGATGAAGATGTTCATAAAGTCACTAGGATAATGTCTGCGCACAACCAGTATGCCACGAATGTACAGTTAAGTTACACACGTACACATGTAGCTACCGGTACCCATATTTGTAGGGGGCCAGGGAAACAGTATATCCTCCACAGTGCTCTCGAAAGTGGTCGAGAAGTGCCCTCTTTTGTCCATGAATGGAGTCCATAAGGACAAAGTGAAAACTAACTGTAAATAAAATATAAGTAGAAAAGTTTAAAATCTTTGTTTTCTGTCTTTAGCAAAGGCAGAGAGTTTGGTTCGTCACCAGCAGAGATCGGCAGGAGTCATCATGGGAAGGATGCAGACGAGAAAACAACAAGAGTTGTGTTAGTCCCTGTATCCCATCAAGCAGATGCAGCAGCTAACATCGTCTGGAATCCATACAGTGCTGAAGACGAATGGGCTCAGCTTCACCAGTCACAACAATTGGTGAGGGGATATTACCACAAAAAAAAGCCAGTTTCAGGGATGACACAATAGATCTGTAATAAATAATTCTTAAACTTAAAGGGAAAATACAACATTTGCAAACATCAAAAAATAAAACTACCAAATCATTTTGAAATACCTTGCTGGACTGTTAGTGAATGACAGTGTAAAGCATCCTGTAAAATCATGGCACCTGGTATACTGTCATTTTCAAGAAAATTAAGTGGTATTTTTGTATCAATTTCCAACGCTGATCGGCCGATCAGCGTTGGAAAAAACTGGCTTTTTTTTCAAATACTGGCCCCAATTGACCATCGCACTTGTTTGCAATCGATTACAAACCTATGAACGGGTACAAACCAGCTAGACTGGTTCTCTGACCTTACAATTCCCCAATGTATGTAAACTGCTCTGTTTCTTCTTATTTGTAGTCAGGGAACCAGACTACAGGAAAATGATTGTTTTTCTTGGTTTGTATAGCATTTTCGAACCTAAAACCTCAAAAAAGTCAGTGTAACTATATTTGCTATATATTTCCAACCCCCAATTCCATCCATTTCTGAAATTTACAGTAAAAGCAAATGATGTATATTCCCTGTAAACTTTAATCACAGTCTATTTAACTTGTAGTGGTGGGATTTAAATTCAGATTTTTCGAAATTCGGTTTGAAATCCACTATTCGGTTTAGATTTTGGAAACCGGATATTCGAAATAACCTTAAAAAACAATTAAGCCTTCCAGTTTTTATTGTGACACATGCTAAAGAAACAACTGCAACATCCCCCAGATTACTCCATGGTCTCTGATTGTAACTGCATTCACTTGCTAGAGGTCTTCTTGGTATATGAACAGCCTGCCCATTCATTTATAAAGTGTATGGTTGAAGATGTGTTGCTGTTTTTGCTACAAGGTAGTGAAGAGGAATGCTGAGAGAAACATTAATACTTCTTTTCTTCTTTCGGTCTGATCAGACCTCAGTTCCTGGAGGTGTAGAGGATACTCACCATCCACATCAAGCTGCTCATCATCTGACGATGCCTCATCCTGTCAGTATCCCTGAAACCTCCAGGGAGCAACGGATTAAAGGATTAACATCCTCTCAGCAAACTGACAATGAGAAGAAACGTGTAACAAGCCAAGGGAAGCTGTCAAATAGCCAAGAAGACCTGATGCAGGGAAGACCATCAACCAGCATGAGAAGGTCATCAACTAGCTCAAGAAGGCTGTCAACTGATTCAGACATTCCAAAGCTACGGAACACTGCTCCAGATGATCCATATTTGGACCCATACCTCAAGAGCAGTTTGAATGATGAACTGATTGGCACCTATACCTTGTCTCCACGCTCAGATGATCCCACTGCACCACAGGAAGACCCATATGCAATGGCACTTTTAAGATCTGACAGAGAACCTCAGTCTCCGAAACCAGACTCTGGCAGAGGTGACATGTTGTCCACATTGTCCAAGGAGCGTGGTGTAGGGAAGCCAGTTGCTGATGGGTATGATGAGTTTGATGTTAGTAGAGATGTTGCTGGCAGAGATAAGTCAGGTCAGCTTGTAGCAGCTATCAGAGATGAGTTAGTCAGACTTGCTAAGAAAAGTGGACAACATGGAAGTGGTGTTTAAGTCTCGAAATCCGGATTATAAAAATGGAAAGCAAGTACATTTAATTCCCTTTTGTCATGTTTGTATCTAACCCTCCAGGGTATATTGGCCAGAAACCCTGCTAAACACAGCAACATGCAACACTTGTCTCAATGACAAGCCTGCCCAGTGTAGCTAGATTTATCAGGCCAATAGTCTCAGAGTCCGTGGTCACCGAATGCAGCAGGATACAACTGTGGCATTGTTCAATGTGACTAGCTCTCATTGTCTCAGAAGCGGCCGTTGATGCACTGGTGTTGATCGCTGAATGCATCAAAATGCACCAGACTTTTCCACCTGATGCACTGTACTGTGTTGCGTCTGACAGGGTTAGAGTTAACCCACCACGTCTCATGCTACCCTTAGCTTTCAACTAAGCTTTCTGATCAACGTTTAATGTTACATGCTATAACACAGGGCTAGTTATCAGGGTAGGGTTACAGCAGTTCTTTAGCGTGAGGCCAGACAGGGCAACAGCCTCCTCTGGGTTGACACCCTTGATGAGATCGCTATTTTCTGCAATACATGTATTTAGTTATTGAGTGTGTGCTAGTTTTATTCCCAACCGCAACTTCTAAAGTGTGTGCTCCAGATTGTCGTGAGAACAAATTTAGTTTGTACTTGAGAATTTTTATCTGTATATTTTATGCCAGCTGTAGACTTCTCAGAGTTTATTATTGATGTGTTTATCCTTCCTGTGACAATCATTCAAATTATTTAAATATTAATATTTGAATCTTTTATCAATTCCATAACTTGAAACGTACTTTTTGTTAACTGCTTTGAACAAAGTGCACCAAAGTTTCCACATGCTGTACTTTAATTATTCGATCAATTTAATTTTTCATAGAAATCGTTTACAACTGGACAACTAGTCATGATGATTGATTGATTTCACTTGTTCTCATTTACTTATTCACTTATTAATAATTCATAATAACCCTGACTTGATGAATCAACCAATGGCTGCTGTTCTTATGTAGAACAATAATATGTTCAATTTGGAGGGGGGCCCAAAAGAAATTTTTTTGGATTCTAGATGCTCTGTGGTGCGATCTGAGGCAATTTCTGACCACTTTAACCAAGGTTTTTTGAGGAAAAGATGGTGGTGTACTCATTGCCTGCCTTTATTGCGATGTCACATAAAAAAAAAAAAAAATTGATTTCGTTTTGGGGGGGTCATGGCCCCCTTTGCCCCCCCCCCCTGGATCCGCCCTTGTTCCGAGGGGCAATACAAATGCTGTTATTAATTTTTTGGGATACCTCTAGCAGAAGCTAAGGCCTGGGCCCAATTTCACGGCGCTGCTAAGCACAAACATTTGCTTAGCACAAAAAAAGTCTGGCTTATAAAAGCAGGTTACCAGCCAAAACTCTGTGTGATTTTCATGCTAAGCAAACAACAGCTGGATACTAATCACGAGCAATAAACATCACATGGAGTTTTGACTGGTAACCTGTTTTTATAAGCCAGACTTTTTTGTGCTAAGCAAGTTTTTCTGCTTAATAGCAGAGCCATGAAATTGGCCCCTGGCTATATATGCCTATGTCTTTGAGATTTCAAATAAACAAGAGAAATATCTCACTGCCAAATGAACAACCCTGACAAACCCTCTGAAAACAATTTTCTTTTGTGGAACTGTACATTTGGGGAAAACAAGATTTTAACTCTCAATTTGATTTATGCAAATCAAAACAATGGCACAACTTGGTAATTCATTGGTGATTTTCCAGTTGAAATTGATTTGTTGATCTACTGTTTTAACATTCCTAATATTTGGTTTTTTTTTTTAACTTTTATAATTGTGCTCTATGTGACTGGTTTATGTGCATTGTGCTTTTAGTACTACTCCTACCATTACTTGCAACTGAACTGACCAGACATTTGAAACGGAAACAAACTCACGAACAGCTGTTGAGGAAAAATCAATTATGCTAATTATTACTGATTATGCGCCGTTGTCTCTGTGAAGCCACCCCCTTTGGGAATGAGTGGGCGTAGTTTCACCGCGCTGTTTATTGCTATCAGCTAAAATGGTTTCCACGTTTTCCTCAAATCAACACATAACCAAATCTTACAGTGTTGCAGTTATCTTATGATACAACATGACAAGGCAGTGACAAAGTAACAGCATTCGGTTTTGTATATTTTTTGTTGTATGACATCAGAGACATTAAGAGACATCAAGCAGGCCACTGATCTACTCCAGCCCATCTACTATTGTGCACTATATATTTATATTGTATAGATTGTGTTTTTGATATTTATTTGCAGTTTTAGAAAGTGTGGGAACAATTTTGAAATATTTATGGATATTTGCGGTACATTTTCCCCTTATATTGTTTTCTACTTCTATAGATCCATCTTTTTTTTATTAAAAAATCTCCCAACAATCAAACATGATAATACAGGCAACCAGTTGGTTATTGTTGCAATTCTAGTCGGGCTGGGCTTCCATCCTATTCGGAGGATGACCCATTTATGATTTGCTGACATTTTGGGGAGTTGTTACCGAAAATTGAACAAAATTGTTGTCTAGTTAAGAAGAACATGAAGGAAGAACATGGACAAATCAGTGATGGATAGAATTTTGAACGAACCATGTCCCTAAGGCCAAAAAAAAAAATACTCGGTCTCTGGTCAGGCCAAAGTTCCGGAATTGATGCGGCGACGCGGCTTTTTTTTATAAGCTTGCATTGTACAGACAAGGTGGGGTACTATTTTGCTTTTTTGGGTGTCCTCATGTACATTGGTGTCCTCCATAATTTGCCTTGGTGCCTCGATCATTTGCCTTGGTGCAATTTCCCATTCCTTGGTGCTCTTTGGTAAAAAAAATTGAGGAGGTGCGGCAATAGAGGGCACTGTTGGAGCTACCGCGGAACATTTTGGGGGAAAAAAAGGTTGACGGGCATCATTAAAATCGACGCGCGCGCTGACCAGAGACCAACTTATTTTTTTTTGGCCTAACCTGTGTGTGCTGTACATTTTGTGTGAGCATTGAAGTTTTCAGATGTGAATAGTCTTTTAAGATAATTGTTTTTTTGCTGCAGTGCGATGTAAATATTTTGTATAATTTTGAATTGTATTCACTGTGTTGATGCCAAAGAAAATGTTACTGCTGTGTAGGCTGCAAGTCAATCTTTACCCAAAAAAAAGTGTGTTTTTGTTTTCCATTTTAAATGCCACTGCCCGAAAAATGCCATTAGTTTATAGTTCTTTTAATATCTACCTGATTTGTCGGTTTCCTTTAACGGGAGTTGCATTAATACAGGGTTTGATAGGCATGCAAGGTATTGTGTAGAAGGGTTTCAAAGGAATATCACTTTTCGCTACTTAATGTTATCACTGACCATTTATAAAGAATTGTGACAATTAAGCGTTTACCTTAAAAGTGAATATTGGGAAAACCGACTGTACTGTGTGAACCTATTCTATGTCAAACGAAGTTGCCAGAGATGTTTTTATGGCTAAACATTAATGCACAAGAATGGCAGACATTAAGCTCACTTGCCTGTCCTTTTTATAGTATAGAAAAGCACTTAAATGGAAGCACTAAGTTGCAGTATAAGTTAAACTGCCTATTATATTAATGCAGTTTCAATGTTTATGATCCATTACAAATCGGATTACTGTAGATGTGAAACGTTCATTTTTGCTAGCGTTGCACGCCTACATACCCCGAAACAAATCTCTATGAAGATGCTCAAATATAATTAAACCAGTCGACTGTACCTCGGGTATTTTGTCTCTGTCTCAACCAGACTTCAAATACACTGCGTTGAAAGACTCGTCTCAAAATGAATGCATTGTAATACCAATGTTTATGATTACATATTATTCAATAAAATTCCTTTTGCAACACAAAGCCTTCAGCTTGATGTTTTATTTTAATTGATTGTTAATACATGTACATGTAAAGTCTGTTACAACTGATAATGTATAACCAACTGATAATGTATCACCAACCGATAATGTCACACAAATTGACCGATACTGTATCACTAACCGATAATGTAACAGAAATTGACCGATGGTCATGATAGTGTAGTAAATGTTACTACACTATCGGTCAATATTTGTTACATTATCGGTTAAGACCGATAATGTAACAACACTTGACTGATAGTGTAGTACTTTTTTACCACACTATCGGTCAATTTCTGTTACATTATCGGTTAGTGATACAGTATCGGTCAATTTGTGTGACATTATCGGTTGGTGATACATTATCAGTTGGTTACTACATTATCAGTTGTAACAAATTCCCCAATCTTAAACAGGTTGTGGAATGCTGAAAATAGCGTGACGTAATAAACAGGACTCGTGTATACAATGACTGTTTACTGCTGCCCAACCCGCAAAAATTAAGCAATGCATTTAATTGAACAGTAAGCAAGTGATTTATCATGAAAAATAGACAAACTAGACAGAAGATTTAGACAAAATATTGTTTTTCTCTCCCTCAACAGTGTCTTGTGTAAACGCGGAGGAAAACTAGGAGAGAGTGCAATTCCAGTCCAAACAGACCATTTTCCACACTTTTTTGCACGGAAACGATAGTCACGACGACAAATTATCTCAAAAATTAAGCAATGCATTTAATTGAACAGTAAGCAAGTGATTTATCATGAAAAATAGACAAACTAGACAGAAGATTTAGACAAAATATTGTTTTTCTCTCCCCCAACAGTGTCTTGTGTAAACGCGGAGGAAAACTTGGAGAGAGTGCAGTCCCAGGCCAAACAGACTATTTTCTACACTTTTTTTGTCGGAAACGATAGTCATGGAGGACAAACTATCTCAAAAATTGAGTAATGCATTAAATTGAGCCCTGGCCAGGTGATTGATCTTGAAATATAGACAAACTAGACAGAAGATTGAGACAAAATATTGTTTTTCTCTCCCTCAACAGTTTCTTGTGTAAACGCGGAGGAAAACTTGGAGAGAGTGCAGTCCCAGTCCAAACAGACCATTTTCTACACTTTTTTCTCGGAAACGATAGTCATGGAGGACAAACTATCTCAAAAATTAAGTACTGCATTAAACGGAGCCGTGGCCAGGTGATTTATCTTGAAATATAGACAAACTAGACAGAAGATTTAGACAAAATATTGTTTTTCTTTCCCTCAACAGTGTCTTGTGTAAACGCGGAGGAAAACTTGGAGAGAGTGAAGT